GCAATTAATTGAATAGTTGTGAAAAATAAATCAATTCAGATCATTCTTGTATGCCAGTTGGCACACAGGACAAGAGGACAGAAAGATAATTCCAGGGTCACAGACTCTAACTCTGCATGGTTGTGGGCACCAAGTCAAGTTCCTTCATGAAATAGGAACATCAAAGTGATAATACAGCATTTGAGATAAATTCTCACCAGGGACTTGTAAAATGCCATTAATACACCCTTGTCTCCTTTAGCCACTAGTTCGTATGGCATCTGAAAACACAGATAGAAAACAAATCAGATCTTTGATTTGTAGTCAGCTTGCAATTTACTGTGAAATTAAGTGTAAACTCTACATAAAGATTTTGGGTAAATCTGTTGCATTTGAGAATACTTAGCTTTTTGTTAACATTTCTATTTCAAAAGTACTCTTAAGATGGGTAGATGAAATCTTGTTTAAGTTACAATACACTGAACAATAACATATCTCTATTATAATTTTGATATTAAGCCTTGATCATATTTAGCATTTAAAATGATCAAATAACAATTATTAAATCAATAAAGCTTCTTGAGCAATCTATAGTCAGCAAAGCTAGTGACACCAATAATAACCTAAAAACATGAGATGAAACGTGTGTCCATAAACATCCATGCTGAAACCTTGGCTTAGTTAGCATTACTATGTTGCATGCCAGCAGAGCACTTGATAGTGAGCAAAGGTGGCAAGCCACTTTCTCATGGGCAGTGGGTGACGTCTTGGGGCGTGAGCCCAGGGGGTGCTGCTCAGGCACCTCCCTGGCCAGCAGCTCCTGTGTCCCACTGCCACACAGCCCGGGCTGGGCTGTGTCTGTGGGCCTGGGTGCAGAGGACTCAACACTACACATGCAGCACATCCCATCACCCTGCACACAGGGGGCTGCTGCTCCATGGCCCTGCCTGGGGTTCTGAGCACTGTGCAAGGCTCTGCAAACAAGTGATCAGAAGGGCTCCAGCATTGCCTGGCGGTGCTGGTCATACTGGGAATCAAATTACTCCATACCCTGCTCACCTGAATGAGTGCTAAGTGGATGGTAAGTGTTAAGTACACATGGAGATCCTCAACATACTTGTGTCAGGATACAAATCCATCCCATGTCATACCTCATAAATGAAGGTATACATAGCTGAGCAGTGGGACGTGCAGTGGCTGCTTCAAAACATGTCTCCTTCCTGAAGCAGGTGACTGAGTATAAAAATGCTGTGGTATGCTGTTGGCATATGTTGGAGATGACAGGGAGAAAAGGAGGGAGATAACTAATTTCTTTTTTACAACCTGCATTTCCCTTCAGTGCAGGAGCTCAGAGGTATTCATTAGAGGAAAAACCAAGCAATTTTCTCCCTTTCAAAAATTAGATGGGGATGTCCATTCTATTATTAGCGATATTCACATTCCAAGAAAAACAACAGCTGAGTGTAAACCTCAAGAACTACTGGACTGACCCAGTCATTCCAGTGGAAAATGGTTGATTTAGTAGATTGTGTTTCAAAGCCTGGAACTACATGTCTTTCAAAATTCTGTGATGTTTTTGTGCCATCTATTTATTCTTCTATAGGAAAATAATATTCAGCTAGGCTGTTACAGGCCAAATGATGCAAAAGGATTTCAGCACTATTCCCATCCACTCTCTGGGGCTGAAGTAACCCTTGAATAGCCCATAGGTCATGCACAGTTCCATCCTCCTAAAAGATCTGCTGTACCCTGCTACCCAGTGTCACATGGGCTGTGACCCACAGGAGGTAATGGAGAGGTTTGACCTGGAAAGGCCAGGTCAGCCTCTCTGGCTTGGCACTTTCTCCAGTCAGCAGAACAGGGCTGCTTTGCTGTGCTTTCTCTGATGTTCCTGATGTCAGCAATCACTCTGCTGTACAAACACAGGATAAGTGGAAAACCAGCTTGGTCAGGGATTCAGTCTGGAACTCAGTCTCTCTTCCCATGAGAGGCAAATGAACCTGTACCATGAGCTGGGCAGTGTCAAAGTACACGGAAACATAGAGCTGCACACTCTCACCAGAGCCCATCTCACCATTGTAGGCTCCATCATGCGATAAGGCATTGGGTTTTACAACTCCGTGTCTCCTACCTCTTACTGTATTAACAGTTATTTGTCTTGAAAGCGTTTGTGCCTTTCCTCCTGGGATCCAAAAGAAAGGTTACATCCCTGTGCAAAATAAGGTGAAGAGGATAAAAATAATGGAGAGAGAAGCAGTGAGGAAAGATAATGTGTCCTTTCCCTGGTGGGCTCCAGACTACTCTTTGGAGAAGAGACAAGGCTAGGAACAGTAAAACAATGTTTGGAATTTGTAAGATGTTTGTCCTTCTTTGTGATAAAACTTAACAAGGGTTTGCACCAATTGTGCTCAGAAAGATTTACAGTTTCCACACATTTCTGTATAATTCTGTGGCTTATAGCAGGTGTTGTCAGCTTCACAAATCACACTGTTAAATTTTACAGCTATAGGTCTTTCTGATATCATCATGTTTCCATGTATTTTCATTCCCTTGCATCTCCCTATAGCATGTGACATTACCCAGGTGTGCCAACAGTGGCTGCTGACAGCTCCTCTGACCTCATTCTGGGAAGGTATCTGTAGAAAGTATCTTGGGAGACTGAGTTCCAGAGTTTGCCCTTGAATTTTTCCATCATTACAAATGGCAGTACAACTCCAGTGGCAACAGGGGATACTGGTGGCAGCAGAAGTCTGCATTGTGTCCTGGATCCTGTGAGGTGATGAAAGAGCAGGATAGCTGAAGACCTCTTTCCACAAGCCTTCTATCAGCACTGTGGAGGCACCTCTGGCCACAGTCATGCCACATTGCAGGGAAGGAAAATAGAATGTTGGATGGAGGTTCCTAGAGGCTGCTCTGCATGTGCAAGACTGCCTGGTTGCAGGGAGGAATGTCAACATGTTGTAGGCACTACCTGCAGTGCAAGCCCTGAAGCTGCCCATGGGGCAAAGATGTCCCTCAAGTGCTTGGGAGGGATGGTCAAATGCCTGAGTATGACCAGACTCAGCTGTGCAGTCCAGACAGGTGGGATATAAAAGTTTTCTCTGTTGGCAGATAATGTGAACTTAGCTTTGCTTGAGCTCTCTGCTTTTTGCTGGTGAGCCTGGGATAGGAGGTGTGAGCTGTCACATGCCCTCCTGGGTCCTCCATGGCAGCAAGCTGCTTCCAAACCTGCAACTTCTGCAACCCATGGCCTCCCTTCTCAACATTTGCCTAGACTCTGCCCCTAGCTTCAGTGCTCTAGGCACTTCCTTGTGCATGAAAACAGGTCCAGCTTTTCTGCTTTTCTGCTCTTTTTAGAAAGGTCCTAAAGTGAGGGAGATCTATGTTCTGCCAGAGCATTTTCCAGGGATTGAAATGAAAGTTGAGATTTCTCTAACTTTTTACAGTCCCTGTTTTCTCAGTGCATGGGAATCATATTTTGGGAATGATGTGTATCATGGCCCTGATTATTTACATTCACTGACTGGTTATTTTTATCTGAGTCTGATTTTGCAGGCTAATTACACAGGCACACACACACACACAGAAACCACTTTGGCCCATTCCCAGAGATAAAGTAACCTAAAACATTCATTACCAGCTTGCTCAAAGGTTTGTTCTACCATTTATCTGATAGATCTTAAAAATAAAATGGCTTAATGCACCTTCAAATGAAAATACGGAACCACCATAAAAAGGATTTCCATGCTGAAGGCAAGCAAATTACAACACATCAGTCTTCCCTAGTGAAAGTCATACTATCTCTGGGTGCCCACCTGAAGCTTCAGAAACCACAGTCCTTCTCCATGTGGACACAGACACACCACATAGCATTTCTCTACCCAAAGTAGGTGTCATCCCCTCACCTTGCCATGGTCCTGATACTCTCACTCATTGGTTGAATTTAAATTGTGATGCCTTTTTTGGTTGCTTTGGAAGCTATGCACATTATTTAGGAGAGCTTTGACAGGTTTTCTTTCTTTATAAGTGAGAGGAAACTTTGTCAGAAAACCACCCTTTTTTTCACTGTATTAGTTAGTTGGAAAAGGTGACTTTCCAGAAAGGCAGAAGTGAGATTTCAGGGAAATACCGTCAGACTGGCACTCCCAAGGAAAGGTGGACAGGGGACTTGGCCCACATAGGACTGGACATGCTTCATTTCTGGCATGCCACTGATCTGGGTGCAAGCACTTTATGTGTATTCACTGAACTCAGAGAAATGCCAGAAAATTATGGAGATTTAAGAAATGTGTTTGCATTGTAACTGTGTTAAATTACTGTTTTTAAAACTTGTATTTTACCAAAAGACCAATGTCTGAGGCTGTTCTTCAGTTAGGCTATAAGGTGTGCCATGTGAGATTAAACATTTTTCTTTATAAACTGTGCTAAGAAATATGACTTAGTTTAATTTTGGTGGCATCTCCACTGATCTGTTAAGGATGTCCCAAAAAGACGGAAATTGAAATGGTGAAAAATACATAATGAAGAAGACAGTGTGCATTTTTAAAGTAAAAAATTAGATAAGAATAAGTCATAGTGACCAAGCCTCGTATAAGCAGATATGAGTGATTTTGTGTGTCTGATTCTGCAAGGGCATTTGCTGCTTGTAATGAAAAGACATCAATACTTGTGCAAGCAACTTGCTTTTGGACTGTAGTATCATACATCCACCTATATAGCCACACATATGCTAGCTGTGATAGAACAAGATATGCCAACCACACACTGGCCTATTTTGGTCATATTGCCTAAGTGTTAGCATGTTAGCATATTTTTAATTTTCTGTACCAAGAAGCTTACCATTGCTTTGACTCTGGATGCTGTTTTTGTCAATTTTGAAGGCTATATCCTCCATGGTTTTGTGTGGCATCATCCAGAGAGCAGGGCCCATTTGCTTTTCCCATTTGCCCTTCCTCCAGAGCCAGAGCATGCCTACTGTGATGGTTGTTAGGGCTCACATTTCCCCCTCTGCCTGGTTTTACCTTCAGCTTTCTTTTTTCTGGAAGTGTTCTCTTTTCCTCAGGAAACCAAACAGCTCCTGGGTGCATCCAGCTCTCCTGCTGGTGGTGTTGGAACAGAGATGCTGTCATTGCTCTGGCACAACCAAAGTGCTCCTGGAGGTCACTGCTGCAAGGAGAGCACAGCAAAAGGGAGAGGTTTGTGAGAAAACAGAGCTCAGACTGCAGTGGATCTGGTGGTCAGATAATCACTTGGGAAAGAGATTTAGGATGTTGTGATAAAACCATCTGTGTGATGTTTAAGCTGCAACATCGCAAATGCAAAGCCATACTCATGGTAAATACAAGTTCAGAGGCATCCTTGGAGAATTTGGGTATAGGAATGCTGATAATAGCAAAGGAAAAATCTCACAAATTTTAATTTGCATTATACAGTTTTTAACCCATCAAACCTGAGTAAGTTTAATAGCTCACATCAAGGTGGAAGGAGTTTGTCTTATCCCCAGTATTAGGAAATGGCAGCACAACTCAATCTCCTGACAGTGATGTGACCCTCTGAAAGCATTTTTATGGTCAGGGTTTGCTTCTACGTATAAAATTAATTTCAAAGCAACTTTTCTCATCTTCTAAAGAACTGAGGCTTTGGATTCAAAAATAAGTAACAGAAGGCAAAGTAAAGGAGACCAAATCTTAGCACTTCCTAAAGAAAATGAGATTAAGAAGTATTTATAAATCATGGACTCACAGCCTTCCCTTGATCTGTATATGCATAAAAATGAAAAATGGCATATTTATCTGTGAAGATCCCTTTTAGACGGTGAGATTCTTTAAAGAGATTTTTTAAGCCCTTTAGAGAAGACAGGGCCTACCTTTCCCTTCCTGGGTCAGACTTAATGTACTATTGACACTTAATGCATGGTGCTAGGGACTCTGGACCTATGTTTTCATCTTTTAGTTATGGTTCATTGCCATTTATCTGTATAAATTCTGTATTTCCCAGCTATGAAACATGAGATTTATAAAAACAGCAATGGAGACACTACAAATTATGTCTCCCCACTTTCCCTGGCATGCTCTGATACAAACAAGAATGATTGTATCATGCTATTTTGTATCATAAAATAATAAAAATTTTCATGTGAAGATGGCACTAATATATGCAATGTGATTTGAGCCAGTGGACTTTGGTAGCAGGATTCATGAAAAAAAAAGGAAAGAAAGGTGTTTTTTTTTCTCATTTGTGATACCACATAAGTCCTTTAAAAAGCTGGCCTTTAATTCCAGTGATGGGCTAAACCTCAGTAATGAACCAATCCAGGGGCCCACTTAAGGACAAGACTCCTCCCTTTCAGAGCTGCTTTTCATCCCTGTTAGACACTGGAAATAACCCTGCTGCCTATTTGTTGGATCTGCTTTCCCAGCATAGTTTGAGAAGCCGTTCTGCAAAGGCTCTATATCAAGTAAGTCCCCATGGACAAGATTCACATCCAAGCTCATCAAAAGAAAAGGCTGGAAGGGACTTAGAAGGCCAAATCAACATTTCCATGCTGTCCTTGAGACACATTTGTTCAGCTGGTCCATAAGATTTATTGCAACAGCTGCTTCACTGCTTTGCTAACAAATCTCAGTGCTCCACTACCTGCAGTGTTAGAAAGATTTCTCTGAAAGTTCTTAGCCTGAGTCTACAATCAGAATGTGTTGCTGCTTTTTGACACCACAGAAACAGTAATCAGGTGTTTTGCTTCTTGGCAAAGCCTTTTTACATATTTGATGTTGTTTCCCCTTTGAAGTCCTTAGCCCATCTCTTGATACTTCTTCAGTTGCTCCTCAAAGGGTTCCTTGGATTGTTTACCTCTGGGATGTCTCTGAGAGATCCTCACTTTCCTTTATGTGCAGTAGCCAAACTTAAGTGCAGTGTTGCACCTGAAGCTGGACTAGTGCTTTGTAAAGCAGAAAGATGCCTGCAGATGCCCAGCAAGCTGTGCTCCCCAAGAGGAGCATTCTTCAGATACCCAACACGAAGTTAGACTTCTTTGCCAATGTGTGACCGGGTTGACTCACTCAGCCTGTGCTCCATTTTAATACCTGCCTCGTCTTTTGAACTGCTCCCTAATCAATTTTATTTCATTTTGTGCTTTTGCTTGGTCATGGCTACCTAAATTTAATACTTTGAACATGACTCTATTAAATCTTCTTTTTTTCAGCCAATTTCTTCAGCTTGTCAGATCAATCTGGATTCCAGCCTGTCCTCTAATTTGAAAGCAATCTCTGCAGTATCATAGAATCTGTAGCTGTAGTAAACATATTTTGTATTTTACTACCCAGCTCACTATATGGGAAAAAACCCCAATGTGTATAAGAAAGAACCTGTCAGGAGTGAGTTTTGTATTTGAGATATTTTTGGACTTAAATGTTGAAACACTGAACTCTCCCCTTGGTATGGTACCCAGTTGGTTAGGCACCTATCTTATGGTATTTCTCCATAGGAAGGTTCCTTACAAGGACATGACAAAAAGCCATTGAAGTCAAGCTGGACAGTCCTGCAAGACCATGTAAACAGACCAGCCTGCTGGCAGTCCTCTGTCCTTTGCCATACCTGTATGGCTAAAGCGGGCAAGGCTTCACCCAGGCTGCCACAGAGATTTGAGTTACTCATGACTTGGAAGAGGTTTACACAAACTTTTGGAGGATGTTAGTGGCTGTTCATAATGACTTGAAAGCCACCTGCTGCAGAGAGATCCTGGTGATGGCTAGAGGCTGAGGGGTAGAGCAGAGACTATACCTACCATTACCTGAAGATACATTTTCATGGGTCATCTATTATTTGGGTTAATATCCACTTGTGGCCAATAATGAAAGTGGCCATAATTTGGTCTAGATTTATCTAAGGTGCTGAAAATCAAACACACAGTGAAGTCTGAGCAGTATCCTCAATTCAGGCATTGACAATTCGCTGCCCCATCTTTAAAGGTTCCACAGCACTTAAATAATGCATAATGTTATGTGTGAGTTGGTAGCTCTCCTTATGAAAAGGTGATACCTTGATTTCTATTATGTTTAAGAGGATTTTTCTTTTCTGTAAAACTGTAATCCAGAAACATGATTGAAAGGCCAGAGTAATGTAACAAATGTTAATCTTCTTGTATGGTATATGTCATAAGTGAAAGCCAGAAATCAGAAGCTTTTCAATTTGACACATAATGATTGCCCTTAGATATTGGCCTGCTTTATTTACAAGATGTTAAAAATTACATCGTGAATACTCATATGATCATAAAATGATTGCCTGTAGAAGTGTGAATTCCATTTAGCCTTTACAAAGAAGCACTTAGTGGGCTTTGTACTGCGTGGGCACGACCTTAGAAAAGGCCTATCATTTGACTATGAAAACATGGCTTAGTTCCAGTGCTAACAACATTGCTCTGCTAAAATAACTTTGGTGGGCACAATGACCTATAATTTTTGTAACACCATTGAAAAAAGTGTTTTCCTTACAGTAGTGTTAATTATGCACAGGATAGATTTTTTGTATATATTAATAATATTGGTTTGATTAGCTATTTTTAACAAAACTATGAATTGTGAACAAGCATCTCAGGATGCTTTTTTCAGTGAAAGGTGAAAACACTCATGTCCCACATTAGCAGAGTCATGTACTCAATTCTATTTTATCTCACCATTTTGGTTTTTTACGTGAATCTCAACAGAGCAACCAGAGCCACATCAATAATATACTATCAAATGGTACCAAAGTATGATGATGATGAAAATATGACAGTGTGCACTCAGAATTATAGCCTGAAAAAGGCACCAACGGAATAGAAATTGTTCCTCTGACCCTGTTCCCATTCAGCCTGGTTACAGAGCAATTTAATTCTGGATACCTCAGTAGTAATTCCTGATTTTCACCAGAGTGAATATGGCCCAGGGAGTAATATATTTGCCATCAGTTCACACTGACTGTTACCTTTTCTTTACTTCAGCTGATGTGTATGATGAGACTGACTATTTTTAGACTGTATCCTCTAACTTATGTCATCACTGATGGCAATAAAAGGAAAAATGTAAAATGCAGCCATTTCAGCTGAATTGTGAGCTATGACTGCATGAGGTTGAGGGCTCATGACATGTATGCATGCTTGCTGCGAACATTACAGAAGAGGTGTTTTTGTATCAGCTCCAAAGAATTTTGTTGAGAGCAAGTGCCTTTTTCACTTTTTGGTTCTGTTTACCTTGACATAATTCTGCTATCCCAAACCCCAAGGGAAAATATTTCAACAAAGAGACAGTCGTCAGAGATTAAACTGTCATGAAACAGAGATGAAGTTGGTAGGATTGATTGGCTCTCACTGTACCTTGATGCAGCTGTGGCTTGGATGAGCAGGACTGGTTATGAGTCAATCTGACTAGGGTGGGATCATGCCAGAGGCCAGGGGAGCCAGCTACCTACAGAAGCACAGGCAGCTATTTTCTCCTTCAGGTTTTCTTATTTTAATGCTGTTGATTTGTGACATTTACTGAATGAAGAAAGTGTCCCCAGCACGGGGACACTTTCATCATGAACCCTTGTTAACTTGGAGTGATGCTGCTGGGGTCCAGCACCTCCAACCCTCACCTTAAGCAGGGCCATTGCGAGGATCTGAAAGATCTCTTTGCAAGAGACAGTCAAAGCCTGGGGAGCAACCCTGGTTTCCTAGGTTACTTGAGCAGACAGGCCAGGACCTAATTTCAAGGAATTCCTACATGGCTCCATTACTGAAGCAATTGAAAATCAGGGAAAACTTGGTAAAGGTGATGTCAGTAATTTCATATTCTGGCTCTGTCCCATTTTCTTCTTTGCCCCTTATTTTATCCCTCCTGAAGTAGCAGTGTCTCAGCCTCATCAGATAGTGTCCTTGTATAATAGCAGGGGCTTCAACTGCTGACTTTGAGACATGATGTTCTGTTGAAAAGTGAGGGAACTGTATTATGGAGATAAATTTTTGTCTCAGTTCACTACACTCCATGATTTGTTGACCAGCAAATGATGTCATGAAGCCTGCTGATTCTTCCTAAGGGGCACAACATGGAAGAAGGTACTGGTGACTTCTCTTACATGGATTTGAAAGGATCTGGAAAGACTGTTGCATACTGACATGAACAGACTGCTTTGAACACAAAAATGTATCA